TTATGGATTTAAAAAAATGTAAATAATTTATATATTTATTAGAGTAAGAAATAGATAAAAGATTGAGATATTAAATGGAATAAAGATTAAAAGAATAAGATATACTTATATTAGATTTAAAAGAAAAGGAAAGAGTTTATCGTAAAAAATGATTATTTATAATTCACAAATCCTAAATTTTTTAAGATATTTGATTGATTTATTTATCATAATTCTTTTGTTTCTAATCATTCATTTTCTTTTATATATCAACAAGAGTGATGTTCATATATTCTTACTTGGCAGTTGCGATAACATCATTAATATTTTCAAAACCTTATCCAGTTAATGAGGAAACCTCTAATACTGTAAAGTTATTATAAAATTCCTCTAATGTCAATACCATTTATTTGCTCAAAGTAGATAAATAAGTATCTTTATTTTTTAAAGCTTCTGTAAATGAATCATAATCTCTCAACCATTCTAAAGGCTTTTTTGAATCAGCAACATCACATTTATTAAAAACTATAACCATAGGTAATTTAAATTTGTAGAATATACTACAACTAAATAATAGATTGCTCATAAAACTATTAGGGTTTTAACATCTTGCAATGTCAATAACATAAAATATTATTGTTGGCATAGACATAGATAATGTTTAAGATATTAAATTTCCAGATGCTGACCAAGTAAAAACTTCGATTTATCCTGGAGTATCAATAATTTATATAGTGGTATCTGATTTTTCTATTTTTTCTATTAATTAGTTTAACTAAAGGGAGTAAAGATTAAGTGCAGTCATGATTGCTCCATTAGGACCTAGTTTATTTCTAAAATGTTATGATAAATAGTAATACTTAGTCATTAACTCTTTGTAGTTAATTGATTTACGAATATCTTCTTCAGGTTCATAAGGCAATGAATAAACAGCAGGATCAAGATTAATTAAAGTATGCTTTTCATTTTTTAATTGTTTGCTTAATTGCTAAATAATATTGATTGATTCCTAACCTAAACAAAAGTAGTTTTGCCTGTTCCTGCCATTCCAATGATAAGCATAGCTACTTTATTTTCCTTTATCTAAAATTCAATATCCATAAATTAAATGAATAATAAACTAGAAAAATTAGTGCAAAATTTGTTTAAAGAAGGTGTTATTAAATCAGAGATTGTGAAATAAGTTTTATTATCTGTGGATCGTAAATAATTTGTTGACGAGTCTGATAAAATTAATGCTTATGAAGATTATCCATTATAAATTGGCTTTAATGCAACTATATCAGCTCCTCATATGCATGCTTATTCTTTAGTATATTATTATGTAATTAGGAATTACTTAAAGATCATTTATAGAATGGAGTAAGAGCTCTTGATATTGGTTCTGGTAGTGGATATTTATGTGCTGCAATGTTTCTGATGATGAAATAATAATAATCAAAAGTAATTGGAGTGGAACATGTTCCAGAATTGGTTGAAAAATCTATCAAAAATCTAAGTTTGTAATAATATAAAAATAATAGATAGGTCTTACAATTAATAGTTAAAAGATAAGCAAATATAAATTATTAAAGGAGATGGACGATTAGGGTTTGAGTAAGAAGGTCCTTATTAAGCCATTCATGTTGGTGCTGCAGCTGAAACAATACCATAGAAACTATTAGAATAATTGGACAAAGGAGGTCGTATGGTAATTCCTGTTGGTAAAGGAAACTAAGTTTTTTAAGTAATTGATAAGGATTAAAATGGAAAAATCAATATCTAAAATGTTCTGGGAGTTAGATATGTTCCGCTGACTGATTTAAATAAGCAACTATATAATTGATAGAATTATAAATACATATATTAAATCGATTTCAATATCAATTTTTTATGAATCTAATTAAGTAGTAAATAAATTTAATACATATTATAAAATTAAATATAATGTAAAGCATAGACCATGAACATTATACTAAAGTAAAAAAATTACCTGGAGGAGCTTATGGTAAGATTTATCTGTGTAAATGTGAAAAGCCTATACATAATAAAAGAATATTTTAATGGATTCCTTAATTAGTAGAAATAGAAACTCATCCATAATTTGTAGTAATAAAAAAATTTAAGCCTTTAAAAAAGAGAGTGGGATTAGACATAGATAGTTTGCGTGAGGTAAGATTTATGAATACTATGATTCACTAAAATTTGAATATACCTAAGCATGTGTTTATGAAAACATCAAAAAAAAGGAATGATGATACATTTGGCTCAATTTGTTTTGTTTATGATCATATGGTTTCTCTGTTTGAGATATTATCTGTTTTTAGGGAGTCTAATGAATCAATTCAAGAGAGTGATATCAAATTAATGCTTCTCTAAATTTTATAGGGATTTGAAGAGCTTCATTAAAAAATGATTCTTCATCGAGATTTTAAACCTGAAAATGTTTTAGTAACAAAGGATGGCATTTTAAAAATAACAGACTTTGGTTTAGCAAGATTATGGGAAGATAAGCCTATGACAACATAAACATGTACTATGCAATATAGATCACCTGAACTCTTTTTCAATGCATAAAAATATGGTCCAGCTTTAGATGTATGGGCAATAGGTTGTGTATTTGCAGAGTTTTATCTTAAATAACCTTTATTCTCAGGGGAAAGTGAGATTAAAATATTATCTAAAATGGTAAATATACTTGGAAATCCTACTGAAAAAAATTGGCCAGGTTTTTTAAATTTGCCTTAAGTTGTTCAATTTGAGAAAAGGGACTCAATGAATTTATTTAAGTTATTACCAAAAATGAGTAATGAGGGTATTGATTTATTATCCAAAATGTTATAATATGATCCAAATAAAAGAATTAGTATAAAGGATGCCTTGAATCATAATTATTTTAATTAAATCGAATCATAAAATTTGTCAAAAAAGCTAATGCAAATTATATATAGTAAATTAAATTGATTTATTTTACAAAATATATTAAGTTTTATCATTTTTTATCAATTGTAATTTCTTTTAAGCCTCTTAATTTAATATTGTATCTGTCTTTAAATGATTTCTATATCTACTCAGCCAATTTGATGGCTTTAATTTTACTTTCATATTTTAATGAATATGTCTTTGAATTAGTCTAAAACCAAGATTTTCTAACAGGAGTATGAAGTTTAAACTCAAGTAACTTCTATTATTCTTTATATTTCATTGATTTAATTTTATAAATCATTATTTTATCACAATGTATAGATGAATGAGACTAAAAGAAGAATAATAATAAATATTACCAATACATAAACTATTCTTGAATCTGTCAATACAATTTAGGCTTCTTGTTTTTTCTTTTATCCATCTGATATATTGAGTTAATCAAAAAAGATAATACTTTCGCCATCTATAACTTTTAATTTGAATCTCCTAATAATATCAGTACCTATGGCATGTTTAAAATTGAAAGGTATTAATTAATTGTTATCTCCAAAAATTCTAGGTGGTCTATATCTAGTATCCATAATATGTTCTTCATATATTGCTGTATTTTTTATTCCTTCGATTATTGTTATCAAAAGATCATAGATTCCTACTGTAGGTTTTATTATAATTCCCATGATTCCCTAATAAATTCCTAACAAAAAACCCAAAAATCCACCATCATTTATTCCAGTTATTGGCCTTTCTAAAACTCCAATAATTGTTTAAAATAATATCTTTCCAAAATTAGTGAATCCGATAATTAATCCTTCTCTAAAATTTTTGATTGCTCTATTTAATCTATTGCTTCTCTCTGACATATATTTTTTATCTAAAGTCATTTAATCGAGAATTTTCATTATTGTTCCAATAATAGTATTAACTGTTTTATACACACCTGTTATTGAAGTGTGTATTAAAGTAACTGCACCTGTAAAAAATTTTTCACCTACTTTGTATCCACTTTTTCCTGTAACCAGCGCATAAATTGGTTCATAAAACATATCAATTACACCTGTTCCTAAATTAGAAATTAGAGAAACTGGATTTCCAAATATTTCAAATGATCCTAACAATTTATAAATTTATGTTAAAAATTATCTAATAATATAAATATATAAATACCCTTTATAATGCTTAGATATTCTGCCAATAATTTCATTACTTGATCCAAATATATGTTAAGTCTTAAAAGCATTTAACCTAATTTTTGCACTATCAATTGATGCTAATGTTAATCCCAAATCTGCTATAACTCCTATAGATGATGAATTCATAACATGACCTGGAGAAGATCTTAATAATTTTATAAAATATCTACTTCAAAGTAAAGCAAATGTCAATTGGCTCTAACATTAAATTTTTTAGATAGATCTTACTAATACTATGTTATTTAATTTTCTTTAATTATTCTTCTTATTTCTTTTATAAAGATCCTAATCCAAATTAGCTATTGCTTTATTATTAAACATCACTAAAATTACTATCCCAAATAATAGCTGCTATTAAATTGTAATATTAAATTATTTAATCTAAAATTTAATGATCCAATCTGATTTCTAATGTATCTGTAAACATTTAAAGTGTATGTATATATGATATCTTAAATTTAGATTAGTTTTATTATTGGTCATTAGCTTGAATTTAATTTACTTAAGCATTTGATTCATTCTTAACAACTACTCTACTTCCATTATTCAAACTAGCATTTGACTTTTTTATCTATTATTAGTCTTTTCTGTAAGTAGTCAACACAAAAAAGGGTTATTGATTTCCAAATATTTTCTTTTTATTAGGAGCCAACAAAACAGGAAATTATGAATTTATTATTTAATTATTGATGATGATTAAATCGATTGACAAATTTATATGCTCTTTTATTTATTTAATTTATGGTTTTTCTGCTAATAAATTTGTATTTTCATCTTCATCTTAATTTTATCTTAATTAAAGATCTTTTTATATTTCTTCTATTAAAATATATTCTGCTTATATATTTTTAAAGCAAATTTATAATATTTCCTTTGGTGTTTCATCAATAATAGATATACCTACGCAATTACTAATTGATATCTTATAACAAGTAAATTATTAATTTTATGTGTCATCTTCTTTCTCTTGTAAAATCTCTGATCCTTCTTTTTGAGAATCAGCTCTATCATTTGATTAATTTTAAAAAAATGTAACTACTTTAGTTTAATTAGATGGTTCAATTTTTAATTCTACCATTTCAGGTTTATCAATTAATATTGCTCTCCATAAATATTCTACCCATTAATTTGCTTCATCAACAGTTTTTGTTTGAAAATGTAAATTTTTGGATAGCATTTTTTCTGGGTTAATTTTTAATACAAATTCATTATCCTTACTTTCATCTACTTTTGCTCCTTATAAATAATAAGATTCATGTTATTTCTTATCTGAAGAATAAACATTGAATTTTTATTTTAAAACATTTAGAGTACAATAATATTCTTTTGGTTTATCCAAATCTTTTATTAAAATATTTCCTTATTTATAAAGATATTTCTTATTTACTATTTTTTTTCTCTTTTATGATTAACCAGGTAAAGTAAGTGGTTAAAAATTCTGAATCTTATCTATTTCATATTTTTCTGTTTAACCCTCTATTTCAACTTCTAAAACATGTTCTTTATCATCAATCCAATGATCCCAAGTAAAAGCTACCTTTTCTCCTGGTTATAAGTATGTAACTTCATTTCCTCCAGCAGAAAATTAAATTAATTAATAATCTTGAGAGCCAACAGGATTTGATTCTATTACTTAATGTATGCCTCTATTTATTTCATTATTTTATAACATTGGATTAGCTTAATTCAATTTATATCTTTAGGCTTAACTAGATGGTTATTGTTTGTATGTGATTTCATATTTAGTTTAATTGTCTATATAATAGGGTGGAATTATTGGATCTTCTAAAATAAATCTTATTAATAGGATTAAATCATCCATTAAGGTAATATTAACTTTCTAAAGTACATAAAGTTACTAATAATCAGAATTATTATTATTTATAATAGGTTTTATACTAGGAATTTTTAATGAGATTTCTTAAACTTATAATTTAAAGTATCCACTCCAACCTGATATTAGACCTGTTGATTCTTAATAAAAAGATATCATTGCAAGTGCTG